TGTGCCCGTCGTGTCTCCTCAGGCGCGGCCCGTCGCTTGTTTTGAACGGCTTTTCGGCCGTTCCACCGCCCCGCCAAACGGGTCGGGCTTTTTCCTTTCACCTTTCGGGGAGCTTCACTTGCCTCCTCCTGCAGCATCCACGATTGTTTATTTCTTGGTTGAAGATGACCAGTGTTGTTGTACAGTTCTTACAGTTGGGGGGATTTTTTCCTGGCTGCGCAAGCACAGGCTTTATTGAAAAATTGGAGCTAGTAATGCTTTAATCTGGGCCCTGTTTAGGTCCTGTGACCTGGCGGGGATGAACTGTCATGCTGAGTATGGATGACGGTGTTGCAAAGGCTTCACATCTAGATAAGGTCGTAGAATATCTACTTAACTGACATAGCGGTAAAGACTAGATAATACTGAAGGGGAGCTAAGCTGTACAACTGCTTTCTGTACTGTTCTGAGGGGATGCTTTGCAACTTCTAAAAATTTATTTATATGCATTGAACTGTAGCTTCTTCGTGGGCTCCTGGATTACAAAAATATCATGGTTTTTTTTTTTTAAACATATATACTTTTAAACGGAAGTGTGGGAGGTCTCTTCCAACCTAAATAAGTCTGTGTTTCTCTGTCGCTACTTTTAATTAAGGAACTGTTGTTTTGGACTTTGCCTAGTTTTGGGCTATATGCAGGGAGGGAGCAACTCTGTTGAAGTCGTATAAGAAGATGCATCTTGCTGTCTTCTCTTTTGGCTAGCCTTGTAGTTCCATGCTGCCTTAAGAAGTTCCTGGTTTCTCCTTGGTCCCTTCAGTTCTGGCTGTTTATAAATGGGATCATTTTAGTAGACCTTAAGATACAGTTCTGCTGCTGAGGTCAGATTATTCTGCATCTCCAGTCCAGATAACTCCACCAAAGGAAGCTGAAAACATGTGCTAGATTTTTTTCCTTGTATAAAACTTTTGAAGTAGTCAAAAGGGTTTTAAGATTAATATATACCACAAAATTAAAATTCCTACGTGCTTTTAAGCAGATTACAGTGTATAATTAGAGCTAGGTGAAACTTGCTGCTGAGGTACTGCTGCTGAAAGAGTCTGTTCAGAAGAATTAGCATATACTTTCCATTAATGTAGCTGTGTTAACTAGGGGTGGTGGGGGGAGCAAAAATAGGTTTGGAAAGTGGGAACTTAATTTTCACACTTGACTCTTTGCTATTTCTAAACAATAATTTGACCTTGAACTATTTTTTCATTTCCTTTGTTATTGAGAATTTGGCTATGTATACCAGCCATGCTATGCAAATAAATAAGTTGAGCAATAGTAGTTGACTGTGATGCATTCAAGGTAATACTGGCTACTGGCTATGTCTTTTATGGCCCTTCGCTTATTAGAAGATGTGGAGCATCTATGTATTTTGCTTTTTATTGTTACAAAATGGGATAATGATTCTTTGCTAAGTTCTGTGAGACAAGCCAGTAGCTATATAACACTGATGATATTTTTAAGCAGTTATAATGCCTTGAGCTAATGAAAACACTCTTGCCTGGTACTGTAAGTGTTCTAGTTGTATTCATAAGCAACTAATGATAAATGAATGTTAATTTTGGAATTTTTATCAGCTTTTTACTACTGTTTAGGGTGACATTTCATTTGAAAGATGAGATATTTACTATATATATGATTCCTCAATCCTCCAAATTCTTGGAGTCACTGTATTTCTTAGGCTGTTAAGATAATTAGAACATGAAATCTAGCAACTTACAGAGGAGTAAGACCTTAAATATTATCTACTGTATAATATTATACCCTTATTTTCACCGTTCCTAAGTTGATACAATGACCTTTATCAACAGTTAAGGAGTTGCTTCTATCTGTATTTCCCACGATGGCACTTAGAACCTATCTGCTAGAAACGCATGTCTCTCAAGCACTCTATCTCCATTTCTCTTTATTAAATGGTACTTCTGTTGAGAAAATCATCCCTGTGGGATTAATTCCTTCTCCTTAATCTCTTAATTGAGTGGGATAAGGATGCAACTCCTTAACAGTGCTAACTGCAATATTCTTTCAAATGCTTTGCTGACTTGTTACAGCAGCATATGCCAGGTTATTCTGCTTTCTCACTTGCAAAAATTACTCATTGCCTGTTTTCTCAAATCCACCATCTGAGAAATTAAATTAATTTGCTTACCTTAAAATAGGTAAGCAAATATTTGCACTGGGCTGCTAGAGCAAGAGAACTTTTGTTTTGCTGTGTAGAATAAGCCTCCGTTCTACAGTAACTCATTCTTACTAAAGTATGTATAGTAGAGAAGTCTTCTACCACTTTTCTTTCAGAATTTTAGTAATTACATAGTGGACAACATAAGAGGTAACAGAATATGGAGTTTTAAAACGTCTTTCAGTGTTTCTTTTGGAGATTGGAGGAAGGTGTCTCCTTTAACTAAACTTGTTAGATAATGACATGTTTCATGGTTTTCAGGCCATAGTCTGATGATTACTGAAAACAGCAACAACTAGAACATTCTGGTAGATGTAATCACTGAGAAACAGCTAGTTCAAGTGAAAACTGTGACAAGTCAGGAAACTTTTTATGTATAGTGTGGATTGTCACAGACTTGAGTAATGGAGAGTTCTGGGGAAAAAACCCACAAACCAACCACATTTCTGTTTGGTTTTTTTTTTTTTTAAATCAAATATTGTGTGCATGAAGGAATCCTTACTTCTACCAAAAGGTACTCAGGGTATTTCTAAATTAGCTAGTTCAGGTGTTGCAAAAGCATGGATGTAAAAGTGTGGAACTGACCCAAATCCTCTGCATAAGCTAAGACACTTCAGTGCATGCTTGCATTGAGTTCTGTTGTTGGATTGTTTTAGTTTTTTTTTCCCCTTTAACAATTGACTTCAACTTTGATCTGTGGTGACCAGACCAAAGTGTAAGGCAGTCCTGAAAGAAGTGGTTTGCTGGTACAGGTAAGGAGACCTCTCACAGGGTCATAAACTAAAGGATTACATTTCTTACAAAGTTGCCTCTGCAACTTTCTGGGTATCGTGTTTTGTTTAGCTTTGCCTCAGTATGCTAAACACTTATATAGGAGAAGTGATTACAGCCTCTAACTATCAGAGAAGGATAACCATTGTGATAGCTTTGCATCTGCCTGCTATGCTTTCTGCAAGTCATTGCTGGTGTGGGGAAATGTGCAATTGGTTTCTGGTGATTTCATCACTTCAGGAGATTTAGATCAACTGATTCAGATCCTAACTGTCGGCTGGTGCTCCTGCATTGGCAAAGGGTGGCCAGGATCTGCAACATTATCAGTAGAAAACTCCCTTAAGTAACTAGTGAGAGAAGATTCAGCATGTGCTCTATATCCAAATAACTGTTGGTCTGTAACAAGCTTTTGTACTTAATACACGTGCACCGAAGTGGTAATTACAAATTTCAGATCCACAATTTGGATCTGAAAGAGAATGTATTGGGGGAAAAATGGTGATATTAAAGCATAACTTAAACTGTCTACAAAGTCTGTACAATGCTTTTAATTAAGTTCTCTTTTGAGAGAGGTGAGGGTCAAGGGGAACAGTTTTTAGGACTGAAATGGTAAGATTACTGTGCAGAATTTACCCAGGATGATCCAAGTGATGGCCAGGTCTGTCTTCCTTGTCAGCAAATACTCCTATTATGCTTCATTCCAGACAAATGCAGAGGTCTGGGTTGCTACTCAGAAATTGGAGGGCGTTGGAAAAAGTATTTGTGGGAGGGGATGGGAGTGTTGAAGAGGAAGGGCAGCCTGCTCTGCTGCAGCTGCTGTCACATCTGCCTTCAATCAGTGATGACAACACAGCTTTCCTCTTGGCTTCTGGGGGAAGGGCAGGAGTGAGTTTGCTCCCTAAGACTGTATCTGGTCCCCTGTGTACCAACTTTTATATAGCAAGCTTCAAAAACCCCCAAATCTTGGGGGGGTTTGGCTTACATTTAGTCATGCTGCTTTTCTTACTTAATATAGTAAAACATTTTTGCTATTTGAAGAAAAGCTGTGTAAATATTGTAGATTCTTTAGAGCACTTTTGTGCAATGTCTTGCACATTTTACTCTTGTGAATCTTACTTCATATGTATTTGACTTAAAGCTAGAAGTGGGTTGAAGCTGCTGAAAGGAAATTTAATAGTAAAACTTAAAAGGGAAGAAGGGATCTTTGCCCCAAGGTTTCTGTTGAGGTCTACCAGCAAATTTGATTCTGGGCTTGAGGACAGTTGAGCAGTAAAAAGATTAACATGACGTAGCCTCTGAAATTTTGACCAGCTTACAGAAGGCTATCAAATTGCATTAGGCCACCATTGCATTAGGTGTGTCACAAATACAGGAGGATAAATTGGAGAACATGCACTTTTTCCTTAAATACAACTGAAGTATGCAATGAGACGGTGGATCACCATATAGAATGAATGTAGTGCAAAAAGGCAGCTGGATAATATTAGTCAGCGTGATAATGGCGTCATCAGTCTCCAGTGTCCTACTTGTTCAAGGGGGTAGGATGTTTTTGTGTGGATGTCATGGGAAGGGAAGTTTTGAGAGCCTGGAGAATTTGTTTGCTGTTAGCATCTGCAAAACTCTTCCCCAATGGGGGAGAAAAAGTGTGAAAGGCCTTGTTTGAAATAAATTGGTTGATGGAGTTAGGCATGGAAGTTGCATATGAATGGGGGTTAAGAAGGGCAGAGATAGGGACTGAGGGTCTTTTAAAGGGAGAACAAATAATTATTGCAATAGTAGCTGTAGGGGATAGAAGTGTCTACTGTATTCCTCTATCAGCAGAGCACTGAAGAATGTGCATTCAAGTCCTGTTAATAAGTGTGTAAATACATGTTTTGTTGAATTAAGGCAGTAATGTTCAGAATTCTCATCTCAAAGTGGGAAAAGCTTGATTACTTTAAAGGGATTGGTGTATACTTCCCTATTACATAGGCCTGATCCCTAATAGTATTATTTCTGATACTGTTTAATTACAACTAACATCTTTATTTGTTAATTTGTGAGTCAGAGCACCTTATTTTTAACCGAATTGTACATATATCACAGAGTCAATTAAAAAACCCCCTAGCATAGAAAGGCAAATCTCTTCTCAGGGTGAGGAAGGAAAAATGGAAGAGATGCTTT